AAATTTAAGGATTTCTTTAACATAGTCATTCTCCAGAGAAGTGTTCTAGGCAAAGTAGAACAATATTATGTTAAAAAAGAATATCAAATGCGTGGAGCGCCTCATTATCATATCCTCCTATGGATTGAAAATGCTCCTGTTGTCGGTATTACTCGTCCTGAAGAAGTCTGTTCTTTCATACAAGACAGGATTACCTGTCATATACCAGATAGTAATACGTCGCCTGATTTAAATTTTTTGGTAACAACATCACAAGTGCAGCAAATACTGAAAGCGAAATATAAAAGTCGGCACGACCTATGTATCTAGATGCCGATTTGATTTTCCTAGACCAGTACGAGATAGTATTTGCATCAATGATGTAGAAAACAGCTTGAAATCATGTAATAAAATATATTATCTCAAACAAAATGAAAAAGAAGTTCTAGTCAACGACTATAATCCTTTACTGCTGAAATTGTGGCGTGCAAATATGGACTTGCAATACATAGCAGAGAGGAGTCTTTCCTTAACAGAGTATGTAACTGGATATGTCACTGAAGCAGAAAAGAGTCATGCACAGGACTTATGGGATGAAGTCAGCAGCTGTGACAACATATATAGCAGGCTTTGGAAAATCGGCCAAAAATTACTTCGAGCTAAAGAAGTAGGACTATATGAAGCTATCGATCTTCTTCTTGGTGAAAATTTATACATGAAATCAGTAACTGTACAGTACGTTAATGTGTACTTGCCTCATAAAAGGAGCAGAAAAATAAAAAACTATTCATATTTAACTAAAATGGATCGATCTTCAAAAGACATTTTTAATCCTAGTAAAATTGAAAACTTTTATCCAACAAGACCAAATAACATGGAAGATGTATCTCTTTATGAATTCGTTGCTAATTACAAATTTAATAAATAGGAGAAAATGGAGAAAGAGAATACAAACGTCGATCAAAGCCAGTCCTTCAAAACCATAGGAAATTTAATGCTATGCAAGAAGTGGAAAGAGACGATTTTTATTACTCGCTAATATTTTTATTTGTGCCTTTTAGAGATGAGAGCACACTCATAATGGAAGGAGAAACAATGGAAGAAGCTTTTAGGCGTCACAGAGAAGCATCTATACGTGGCATTGGAAATCATTTTAACAAACTACAGAAATTATTTGAAGCTGAGCGTAATTGGAAGAAAATAGTTAATGTAGGAAATAAAGCCGGTTTTACTGAAGAACTTCCTGATAACAAGGAAGATGATGAGCCTCAATTACTGGGTGAAATAATGGAAGCAGTAGCTGATATAGCTGACATGCATATAAATGTACCTAATTTAACATTAGAGCAAAGAGAGGCAATGCTTAATGTAGATCAAAAAAGAATTTTTGATAAAATTAAGAGTCATCTTATAAGTCAAAAAGAACGTGAAGACTTATTAGAGAATGAGTCTTCAAGACTACTTAGATTAGATAATATCAAACCGCTAAGGATGTTTATTAGTGGTGTGGGTGGAAGTGGTAAATCGTTTTTGATAGAGGCAATAAAATGCCTAGTGGATGACATATGGCATCGAAAAAGTGGTGAAATTTTGTGCTATAGTAGCACCAACAGGTATAGCCGCATTTAATGTAGATGGACTAACAATACATAGATTATTTCAGCTACCAATAGAGCATGAGGGAAAGACAGCTGGATATTGGGCTTTGAGTGAAGAAGCTCAGAAAAAAATAAAAATGATACTTAAAAATTTAAAAATTATAATAGTGGACGAGGTATCTATGGTATCCAATCTAAATCTAGCATACTTACACATGCGCTTAGAAGATATATTTGGTATTGATGAATGGTTTGGATCCAAAAATATTTTATTTGTAGGTGACCTCTTACAATTGCCACCAGTTAATGGTAGGCCAGTATTTAATAAAATTAGCAACAAACTAGTAAAAACTAGACTTGGAGCAGCAAATGCAGTTAACATATGGAAAAAAACAGTAGAATATGATGAAGTAACAATCAATGAGCGACAAAAAGGAGACGAAACTTTCTTTAAGATGCTTGATTCTGTTAGGCATGGCTGTCTGACTGATGAAACTATTGATACGCTTAAGAGTCACGTATTTAAGGTTTCAATACAAGAAAATTATAAGGTGAAGGAACAAATCCTCCAATTTGCCTATTTTCTAAGGTAGACGCCTGCCAAAAAATCAATGAATTAATGTTAGAAAGTGTAGAAACTGAGAAAATAGAATTAGCATGTGTTGATGTTGTTGATGAAAGTGGCAGCACAGCAAAATTTGACAAAAACATGAAAAAAAATTAGAGAAACTAAAAGATCAACCAAGCAAAACAGCTGGTTTAGAAACTGTATTGTCTTTAGCAGTAGGCTGTAGAGTAATGCTAAGACGTAATATTGATGTCACTGTAGGATTAGTTAATGGTGCCATTGGTACAGTAATGGGTATTTATGCTACACGTATATTAATCAAATTTGATCATATTGATGTACCTTGTGACATAGAAAGGGTTACATCTAGATTTATGCTATCTAAGAATTTGTATATACAAAGGAAACAGTTTCCCCTTTTACTTTCTTATGCTATTACTATTCATAAATGTCAGGGCCTCTCACTACATACAGCCATTATTGATTTATCTACTGATGTTTTTGGGGATGGTATGGCATAAGTTGCATTGTCTCGTGTACGTACATTAAGTGGATTACATTTATTATCATTTAATCCTCTCTCTGATAAAGTTAGTAATCCGTGCATTAATGAAATTAACCGCCTCAGAAGTAAATTTCGGAATGACTTACCTCAAATCAAGAAAAGTAAAGGAAAGAAGAGAAAGATTCAAGTGACTGGTATAATTGATGATGGTGAACATTGTAGTAAGAATGCCAAGGTGTCTGTAAGTCATGTACAAAGTACTAGTAACAGTACCATTAGCAGCAATAAACGTAAGAGTACTGATTTACAAAAGTCTAATTGCCCCAAAAAGAGTACAATTTGTGACAATAATGCTTTAAATAAGTCTTGCCCCCAAAAAAGAAAAGTTGATGTAGACAGTAGCACTGACAATAGTGCTTTGGTATTGCCTTGCTTAAAATAAGATGATAAATTAATTGTTTCAATTAGACCTAAAAACCAAATTTAATGTCAAAGATGATGATAGTTGTAGTAGTCTCATTGTATCTATAAAACTCTGAAACATTAAATGTAAACCAAAAGATGATAAAACCAAGTATGCTGTAAAAAATGACCATTGTAGTAATAGTCTGATTGTATCTATAAAACTCTCAAGCATTAAAATAAAGACAAGTAATCCAAAAAAGATGATGATGTCATCTTTACTTATGAAGAACCTCCCAACCCAGATATTGTGAGGAGACAATGGGATTATGTTTATTACCCTGGTAATAAAGAATATCAAAGTAGGTGGTGTGAGATTTTAAATCTCAAATTTGTCACAGCTGCTAGAATCTTACCTGGTAGTCCAACAACACCATTGTCAGATGAAAGAGTTCCTAATAGTACTCTTGATGTCCTTGGTGATGGGAACTGTTTATATTTTGCCCTTTCATATCTCATCACTGGGTCAATTTCTCAGCATTACGAATTACGTAAAGTAATTGTTAGTAATATGCCAAACTTTGAAGAAGAATTGTTTAATAGTACATTAAGTGCAACCAGATATTCAAGCATATATGATTACATAAATAAGTCAAAAATGTATATAAATTATGTGTGGGCCCCTGACACAGAGATTATTACACTAACAGCATTATTAGGTATAACCATATCTTCATATTCACTCACTCCTACTTTTGTTGGCAGGGCTAGATATGGAACCCAGGAGTTGTATGGCATTCCTTGTGATACTACTACACCTGCTTTGTATTTGAAGCATGTTGGTACTAATTATTTCCAAGCAGTTAAGTCTATTAATATTTCTTAAAGCATCGATTGTTGATGAAAAGCGGGTATGGTGAATGGGAGGTCCATCATCTTTAAAACATTGGTTGTTTAATGTGTCTTTTATTTCACTGCATGTGCAATGTGAGTGTGTGTGAAAACCAGTGGTGCATATCCACCCATTATTGCTCAGTATATAGTGATCAAACTGCATTCAGGATGTGAGATTAATCAATGTATAACAGTGAATATTGAGTACTTGTTGCTATAATGGACAGGGAGAGGGTGTGAAAGAGGTTTACTGTTCATTAGAGTTTAGCATTGATTCAATTTTGTGTGACTATCATTTATGTAGGACAGAGGGTTAGGAAGGGAGGAAGCTGTCATTATCTATTCCTGATCTTGTTTGTGGCTTGTACTACATGTTTATAACAAATATCAGGTGCTTATGGATCAAGGGCACTGCTGACAAATTTTGAAGGACAAGAAAAATTTAGAGTAACAATAAAAGTTCTCATTATACATTTAGTATCATTCAAACAGTGATTTGGTACATATATTAATGATCATCATATATGTCAATGCTGCCATCAATGCTGTGCGCATTATTAAGTTAATGCCTGCCGGCTGATGTTGCGCATTTGAATGATGCTGCCATCAATGCTGTGCGCATATTAAATGCTTGCCAGCTGATGTTGCACATCTTTTGTTGATGATTGTTGTAAATATGTGCATGTTCACATTAACAAAAAAATATTGTTGTAAGTACATATGTACTATAATGGAGTTACAAGGAATGCAAAAGGTCCATGTTATTGGTAATAAAGTTTGTTCACCATTACTGTTTGTAGTATTGTTATTATTAGCCCACGTGTTTACATTGCTTGCATTTGATGTGTTTATGTTACTATGCTTTACAGGTAATGACAGCTAAAAAGGATTTGATGATTCAGCAATATTTTCATTGCTTGATATTGCAATGTGCAATAACAATTAAAGGCTGTTCTGGATTTCGATTGTTGTAACTAAATTAATTTCATTATTAAATGGAACTTAATGTTTCATTGTAGGTCCTTGATGAGTACTTTTATCACACTGCAGGAGGTGCCTGCATTGGTTTTACATTACTGTAGTATAAGGAATGGAATATGTAGTAAGATTAAATATTGTGAGATTCCAAAGTATCTTACGTATTTTGTTATAGGGTATGATTCAAGGTTACATCTATATTCGTTTGATGGGTATGTCATTATAAGCATGGCCACAGTAAGTACTCTCACTATAAGTTATTGTTTGCCAGCGTATCTTTCGTTGATGATTGTTTGTTTATTATAATAATATTATGTGCATGCATGTTCTCATTAACAAACAACAATTGTTTGCACATTGGAAAGTATTCATGTGTTCTATATTTATATGAATTTGCTCAATGCAAGTCTCATAAAAAACCTTAATTCAGTATAGAATTAGTCAGCAAATTTAAAGATGTTTGTCTTTATTTTTTTGTAGATTATGAATGACAACACTGTGCATGTTCATGTACGTAATCAATATGTCCACGTTAATGGCTACTTAGGTATTATTTATTTCTTAAATCATGCAATATGATATTAATGTGTATTTTTCTTCTAGGAATATTAACAGAAACTAAAGCATTGGAGCATTTTTGTTTTGTCAAACACTGTGCATTGCTAATGTATTTTAATCTTCGCTTAACGCTGGTGCATTTTTTGACATTTTGATTGTTTTATTATTATGTCTACATCTATTATTATAATAAAGTTATGATACATGTAGTTAATAAAAGTTATAATTTTTTGTTCCAACTAGGGGTCTTGCCCTCCTTCCCCTACCCCTGCCCCTGCCAGGTCTTCTTGGCAGATTGAGATACTATTATGGAATATAATTTCGTACATCATAGTAAAGCCTTACAATTTGTCTATTGACAGCCCTCAATTGGGCAATAATGAGCTGCCTTTGCTGGTGCAGCAAAGGCAGTGCTGGGGCAGGAGGGACTGCTGGAGCCCCTGCAGGAGGGACTACAGGAGCACCTTCAGGAGGGACTGCTGGAGCTCCTCCAGGAGGGACAGCGGGTGCACCTCCAAGAGGGACTCCCAGAGCCGCTCCAAGAGGGACTACAGGTGCACCTCCAAGAGGGAGTGGTGGAGCCCCTTCCAGGAGGGATTGCCGGAGCCCCTCCAGGAGGGATTGCCGGAGCTCCTCCAGGAGGGATTGCTGGAGCCCCTCCAGGAGGGATTGCCGGAGCTCCTCCAGGATGGATTGCTGGAGCCCCTCCAGGAGGGATTGCCGGATCTCCTCCAGGAGGCAGAATGGGATCTTCCTCTCTCCTATCCGGATCTGGGCTTGGTGACCTACTCATACTATGAAAAAGATACATACAAGTATATATAGTGTATAAGCTAGAGGCTGGATAAACTGACTTTTTGCTTGCAAAGTACGAATAACAAATATTGAAAAGTAGTCTGATGCCTGATTTCAAATTGACTAAGGTCTAAACTTTAAAGTAAGGACTGTACTGCTCAGTGACAAACTTGACAAAGTGCAGTTGAGCGGGAAATCAGGCATGGTTATTAATAATTATTAACCAAAACAGGATATTACGTCACATAAATAATTAGATATTAGCTATGAATTTCATTATTATTTCAAATTTTCAAGTTTCTAGATGTGGTATGTTTATTTTGTGTATGTACAAGTAGCCAAAAATTAATATCTAGCAGAAGTTTTATTAAATATTCTGTAATGGATTTTTAAACCTAGTTAATTAATATCAATAAACATAATACTGATATAACTATAACAATAATTAACAAATTAAATAAAAAGTATGGAAACCAGGGAATAAAAAATTTCTATAAATAAGAAAAAGTACGGTTGTCAAAAAATAAAAGAAACAAAGGGGTTGAGTTCAATCAATTAATAATAATAAAAGTTAATTAATAAAAAATAATTATTCTAAAAAATAATACATAAATTTCAACCCTACTTTGCAGCATTTAATGAAGGATTACTTATTCCTTTAACATGACAAAGTTTAATGAAAGAATGACAACTTAACTGCTTAGTTCCAGCCTACGCAAGTGTGCAAGTTGGCCCTACTGATAATTCCTAACAATGTAACATAATCAGATCAAAATTTTTAAAATTTATATATACTAAAGACATGCATCCATGCTTTTACTTTTAAAATCAAACTAACAAGTATACATTAATATTTTAATTTTATTAATTTTTATGGTAATGCATCACAAAAATTAAAAAATGCAATAGCAAACTAATCAACTGTACTTTAGAATTTTCACTTGTGATGACAGTAATTTATTCAATCAATGCTAGGTAAAAATTCTGATTTCTATGTATCAGAATACTTAATTTACATCATACTCATAGCAATGTATTAAGGCAATCACTAAGTACAGAGGCATAATTAATTTAAATTCATTAACTTATATTGTAGTCTGAATATTAGCATATTCTGCAAAGTAGGGTTGAAATTTATGTATTAATTTTTAGAATAATTATTTTTTATTAATTAACTTTTATTATTATTAATTGAATTAATAATTATTATTATGATGGAACTCAACCCCCTTGTTTCTTTTACTTTTTGACAACCCTACTTATTCTTATTTATAGAAATTTTTTATTTACTTGTTTAAATAAGGTACATTTACATGCATGTCTGCAATATCAGCTTCAGCTTCTATTATTTCACAGAGTAATTGAGGCTCATCATGTTCCTTGATATCAGGAAGTTCTGCAGTGAAACTGGCTTCATTACTTGCATTGACTATTTTCTTCCAATTATGTGTAGCTTCTAATAATTTTTGTACTTTTGTTGAAGTGATTTTCAATGCTGCACATAAATGCTTCTCTCTGATGCTAAAAAGTTCCTTCCCGTATAAGTGTGCTCTCATCTCTAAAAGCCACAACTCAAAGTACTAGTGAGTAATAAAAATCATCGCTTTCCACTTCTTTCATAGAATAAGCTTGGATGGACTGGCTTTGATCGAGGTATTTATTTTTTTTTGCTATTGTTTTCTATTATATCAAATTTGTTATCAGCAACAATTTCGTGAAGAGATACATCTGACATGTTATTTGGTCTTAATCGCTAAAAGTCTTCAATTATGCGAGGATTAAAAATGTCTTTTGAAGATCGATCCATTACAGTTAAATATGAATAGTTCTTGATTTTTCTACTACCCTTATAAAGTAAGTACAAATTAATGTAGAGTACAGTTACTAATTTGAACTTTCACTGAGAAGACAATCACTACCTTGATATAGTCCTACTTTTGCTTCATATAATTTTTCTCCAATTTTCCATAGCCTGATGTACATGTTGTCCCAGCTGCTCACTTCATCCCATAAGCCCTGTGCATTACTCTTTTCTGCTTTAGTGACATATGCACTTACACACTCTATTAAAGAAAGACTCCTTTCAGCTATGTATAGTAAGTCAATATTTGCGCAACAATTTCTAAAGTAAAGGATTGTAGTTGTTGACTGGGAACTTCTTTTTACTTTCGTTTCAGATAATATACTTTATTGCTTGATTTGAAGCTATATTAAACATCTTTGATGGAAATACTATCTCATACTGGTGTAGGAAAATGAAATCGCATCTGGATACAAAGGTCTTACAACTTCAATATTTTGTCCACAGTATTTGCTGGACTTGTGCATTGGGTACTTTGTTACCAAGTAATTTAATTCAGGCAACATATATCTATCTGGTGTATGACAGGTAGCACTGTCTTGTGTGACAAAAACAGACTTTTTTAGGACAATCAATAGCAACAACAAAAGCATTTTCAATCCATAGGAGGATGTGATTATGAGAAGCTCCGCGGAATTCATACTCTTTTTTAACATGATATTGCTCAACTTTGCCAAGAACACCTTTCTGCAGAATGACTATGTTAATATAATCCCAAACAATGTATAGAAACTGTCGCAATACTGAAACAGATTCTCAGTTCATAATCTACAAATACTTTATGATTGAGAAGTATTATTTCCTATTTTTAAATATTGTGATATATCAGCTAAATTGTATTTAGCACAACTTAGTGTTAGGGTTTGTGTTGGTGAGCCATACTCAGTGTCGACCTCACCTTGAGCATGGAGCCAATATTTATTTGTACCCCATATTGAAGCCAAAATGGTACTTGAATTGATTTTAATATCTTCATCTAAAAATTGTTTTATATCTAATATTTCAGCAAACAATTTTGTTGCCTCTTGTTGTTTTTAATAAATTTAATATGGCAGTTTTAAGGCCTTGTTACTAGTGCAGACATAAATAGTTTCAACAAAATATGGAATTTTTGTTCAAAGTCTTCATTTTATCTATTCCATAAATGATAAAGTCCGTGCGATAGCTTTGTCTGGGATGCTCTCCATATTGTGCAGTTAAAAATGAAGTAGGATAGCCTAACAAATCAAGATGCTCTTGCCAATTGTCTATAAGACTTTCTTTTACATACATTAGTTTTTAATGACTGTTATCACAACCCGTTACAAGTTTACTATCAAGATTTCTAATGGTATATGCTTGTTTTCTTCCTAAAGCATTTTATTACTAGTATTTCTCACTACTTGTTTAACATTTTTAAACAAGTCAGCGATTCAATTATAGTCTACAATTCTATGAAGCTAATTTATTTCTTTAATTTTCTTAATGCTGCTTTTATTTTATTCACATCAACTAAACTATGGCAAACATTATTTGATTTGAAGTCTATTCACTTTCACGTGACTACTGGCTTTTTTCAATTAAAAATTAACCACGTCACATTTAAATTCTGTATGTATTTGTGGTTTTGGAATTGTTCTTGTTGCGTGAAAGAGATGCAAATAAGTAGTAGCTGAATTAATTCTGGCTGTTCTAGCTGCTTAATTGCTGTCAGAGGTATGTCATTGAGTTTATACTGGGGCATCTAAAAAAAGTCTAAGGCCTTACCATTTCGACCAAATCTAAAGGACAGCAAGGACCTAGCAATTCAAATGGTGCAAACAAAGTTTCTAAATTCCATGTTTATGAAAAGTTATAACAAAAAATCAATACGTCTCATGAAACTGAATAGACTTTAGTAGGCTGTCCATTGATAATGATATAAAGTTCAGGATTAGGCAAATGATTAGAATCTATGCTAACCTCATTTAAAGTTCTATTGTTTTTTTTAATGGAAGAAATGAATAAAACATTGCACCTTTAGAAGCCTTTGAAGTATTATATGAAGGCACATTTAAGGTGTGTGCCTAGCATGACAATTGTCTGAAAACAATTGGCGCTCTGTACTTAACTGGCAACTTAAAGGGTAAGTCCAGTGTATTTTTAGTGAATTTTTTATTGCCTTAATATGATTGTGTGACCACGTATTCCAACTCCCATGGTCTAAAAAACTCAATGAGATATGAGCCTTCACAAATGCTCATTTTTTGTTACTTCCTGTCGATGGGTGTGGCTAAACGTGACGTCACTAGTGGTCCAGATGCAGCTAAATCCATTCCCTTATAGGGGGAAATATAATCCTTTATTCTCATG